TAATAATTTTCAAGTACTAACTTTGTATCAATCGATTTTATTTAAACAATTGAAATTAAACAATGAAATTACTAACTTAAAACTAAATCTAAAATTACTAATCAAGGACTGATTTCATCGGATAAAAGAACTTAATATTACAGCTTCCCCTAATGCTTCGTATAAATCTTTCTACTCTCTTTCCAGTTAGTTGATCAAGATAAGTTGTTAACTGAAAATTCAAAATTATTTATTAAACCTCTTCCGATGGTTAGAGAAAATATCTCTCCCAATTAAATTACTATATTCCTATGCAAAATAATTTGGAATAGATTCATTAAGATCAAACTCTCATAAAAGTTACACACGACATATAAGTATATTCCTATTCTATAGACAAACTCAACTATTCAATCTTAAGAAGAATTAACCAGACGCATGTCATCATATTAAGATCTAGACCCTAGAATTCATCTTCCAATTTCATCTAGGAAATCAATTAATTGTTGGCCAAACAATCATATATTAAGTACAAAATATGACAAACAATTTATATATGATCAATTGCAACTGAAAATGAGAGTAGTTTAATTTAACTAAATATCAGGTTCCATTACAATCTTAATAAAAATTTAGTTCATAACGTAATTGAAAAACATCATTCTCAAATTAATCAACATCTCAGAAAATCAAAAACTAAAAGTAAGATAAAAGAAAGAAAACTTAGTTGCAATATTCAATTTCTCTCTAGCCTTCAATTCCGGTCTTCTTCGTATAGCTTCCTTTGATCCTTGCCTTCAATTTACTTTCAATCTTTGGTTCCCTTTATATCTTAGCAACCCCCTTAAACAATATATTTATATCCTAGCTTAAACCCTAACATGTATGTAGCATTAGGGTTCAATTTCTATTAAAAAACAAGCCATAATTTGTCTTCCACGCTAAAATCCGCGTTGCAGCCCCTAAAATCAGCGCAGTTGCGCTGTTTCTCTGCCCTTCTAGAGTTGCAGCGCTACATCTAGAGTTGTGGCGCTGACCCCCTTTTATGCCTACAGCTGCCCTTGTTGCTTAGTCCTCAATTGATCTAAACTTTAGGCTACCAAATGACCTTGTTTCCTTCCAAATCATGATCCCTACAAAACAACATTAGAACACACAAAACGAATAAAAGTGAACATAAAATACTTGAAAACTCACAATTTCATCAAGCCAAGAATACTCAATTCGTAGGTATAAAACCCACTCATCAAATACCCTCAAACTTAAATCTTTGCTTGTACTCAAGCAAAATACTAATAACAAAAACTATAAAATTAACTATAATGGATCAATATGAATCTAAATAATGGCCCCAAAAGTTACTACAAATAATAATAATTCACGAAAAACTTCAAAACAATGCAAAGTCTAAAAATTCAACATACTCCTTACTTTTACCTTTGCTCATAACCCTTTAAATACATGTGCATATATGAATTGTTCAAATAAGTCATCACCTAAATACATTTATGTAATCAAGCACTCCATAGGAGATACTCAATATCAACTCTATGAACTTACGTTTTGTAAAACCCGAGAAAATTTGAACTTTTTTCGACAAAGGGCAAAATAGTAAATTGCCACTATTATGCGGGTTTAAAATGCATATTTCTAAAGAGTTCCGATGGAGCAACAGACTTCATCATTAGATTCGTATCGTAAAATTGAGTTGCCACATCAATTTTTATCGAATTCTGAGATAGTTAAATTTTACACATTTTTCGAGACAATTGGGTGATGAATGAACTTTAAAAGGTCCCTAAAAATAAAAATTATAAAATTTTCTTATAATTGAGTAAAATTTTAAATAAAATTAATTTGAACTAAAATCGGAAGTTAATTAAGTCATTTCGGGTTAAAAACGGACTAGGAGGTGATAAACAAGTGGGAAGATGTGGACCGCGAAATTAAAAGTATAAATAGGGAAAAATACCTGAAAAATCAGATATTTTCTCACCCTTGGCGGCTGTGTTCAGACATTAGAAGAAAGAGAAGGGAGAAAATAAAATTTCTACCTTTCTTTCTTTGATCCAAGAAGTTTTGTCGGTTGGAATCCTTCGGACCAAGAATTAAAGTTGGTCTACGTGACGAGGCTACGCGTACGTACCAAGAATGAAGAATTTCACCGAAGTTTCACGGAAGAAATTTTGGAAAAATCAAAGGTTTAGGGCTTGGGAGTTGTTCTTGAGTTTCTCCCTTTCTTTTATGCTCCAAGAGGTAGGGGTTTTCCTACTTCGGTTCATTTCCTACCTATAGTGTTATATGAAATGCATGGGTTGAAGGGATATGTATGTCACTCACTTATGCATATGAAATGGGTGAAATGGGTATGAAAAAAAGGAGTATGTAAATGGGTTAGAATAGATTTTCCTAACTTGAAATTGTGATGTGGAAATTACTTGGTTGGTAATTCAATGGAAAAGTGATTGTATGGGCATGCTATATGTTTAACATTATGCCTTGTGATTGAGTGTGGTTGACATGAGTTTGCGTAATGCCATGCTTAAGTTATGTGTTGGGTATATAAATGTTGATATATGCTAGTTGATGTATTGGCATGATAATAGATTTTGGTGATTTTATACATGTGATATAAATTGCCATGACACATGTTGAGATGTGTGGTTTAAATTTGGCTCATTGGTATTCATCACATTGAGCATGACATTAATTGAGCAATGGTGCATTACATTGCATTTGCATGGGGAAAATGCATCCATGGCCATGAGTATGGGTGTGTGAGTGCATGGTTGGATCAATCAACATACTTGGTGTTTGATTGGTGGGCTTGGGAAAGTGGGGTTGAATATCCTACTGAGTTGCACCGTTGCATATATGGAAAAATTGTGTTGTGTATAGGAAGAAGGAATAGATCCCCCCTCGGGTGCAAGGCCCGGTTATTGGTTTATACACTTTTGACAGTGCAAGTCCAAACAAAGTGTATCGGCGTGTGGAGTTGGCGGTGCAAGACCAAAAGTCCACTACCCAAATAAAGACACATGATTTTGGTTGTACAAATTATTCATTTGATGAGAAACATCCAAAAATGAATTGATTTTTATGAACATATGAGTTTTGTTTCAAAGACGATCATTGGATGTATTTCATCAATGACAAGGGTTTTCCACTTGCATTGCATAGTGTGGAGAGAGCCGGTGAGGGCTCGGGTTGATGTACGTGAGTGAATCTCATTTCATTCATGGCATGGCATGGTAGATTCCAACATGAAGCATGCATATTCTTGCTTGGAATGACTGTATAATTGGGAATGTTGTATATGAACATTGCATATGCACTTAGGTTGGGGAGTAGCCTCTGTAGGAAATATTCTACTGGGTGTTGGCTCACCCTATACGGGAAATATTTCAGGTACAGGGTTCGTACTGGGAAAGGACTCACATTCGGGGCCTCAACGATGAAGAAAAGCTGAGTTGTGGCTTTTGAAAACAAGTTTTGTGTAAAACTTTTGTTTAATTCCATTTTGACATATAACTGTGTAAATGACTTGTAATAGAACTTGTCGATATCAAGTTTTATGTAAATAACGTTATTATGTATGTTTGAGATGATGTTGGAATGGTTAAAATTGGATTGGAAATGGAAAACAGGAGAAAAAGGCAAAACTGGGCAAATTGTATCGGTACAGTCTGGTCCAGAAAGAAAGTCGTACCGGTACGCTTTCTCAAACTTTGAATTTTTCGTTAAAATCCTTTTTCCCAGGCCTTTGGGCTAGGTACCCTTTAGTACCAATGATACAAATGGACCTTAAATGGGGTCTATTGGGGTGTATTGAACCCCGATTGGATTAAAAGATTAAAGGAACACGGGTTACACGTGTGAGTTATAATCCCGGACAAAGGAATATTATTGACGTGATGCTGGAGTGGGCAACCATCACGGGTATTTTCGCAGGTTGATGGGTGGTCAATGGTTAATAAAGGACCCCGGTTTTAGGGGTGTCACACATTTCACATCAACCTCTGCTAATTAAGTCAAACATATAATTAGAAGGTACAACGTTTTTTTTCAACTCTCTCTCTCTCTCTTTGTTTTTCCTCTTTTCATTCGTTCGGTGAGTGCATTTTATGCTCCATCTCACCTCTTATTGAGCTAGTACATTTTATGGTCCATCTCGCCTTCTCTTGAGCGAGTGTATTTTACGCTCCGTCTCATTCTCAACATGTGTTTATGAGTGAGTGCGTTTTATATTCCATCTCTACTCACCACATGCCCCTTTCTTTTGTTTTTTTAATTTTTTTTAACTTATAAAAGTTCAAATCAAAATAAATTTCGAAAATTTCCTTTTAATTTTCTCCAAACTTATATGAATACCTCAATTTGCTTTGAATGATGTTTAAATAAGTTTTCTAGAGTTTCACTGATATCTCCCACAAGCACTTAGCCAAATAAATTCTCTAAACAATAGCTAACCAAACAGAAGGATATGTGCTCATGAATGAAATGATCACAAACAGTATAAAACCAAATAGTACGTCAAACTACAAACTCAACATGTTCATCAATTTTCCTCAAATTAACAATTCATCACATTCATCATTGGCCATGATCAAATTCAATCAACCTATAGCTCAAGTTGTACTAAGACATGCTATCTAAGTGCAAAACATGCTATCTAAATGCATACCTAATTCAAACAAGAATACACCCCTAAACTTAAACTAAACATTGTCCTCAATGTATAAAGTAGGAAGAATTCAGATAGAGGACTTCCCTGAGACTTTGCTAGTTGGCATCATTGTCAGCATCCTTGTCGTCCATTGAGTCGGGAGTGTATTCGAGAAACATAGGTGGACTAGAATTGAATTCTGGTGAGTACTCCACGAATGAGTCCAATCGATGTGCAAGTCGATCATTGTGTCTAGATTGAAGTCAAGATTCCTTACATAACTCTTGTGTCTCTCTGTGTAACTCTTGTGTTTCTTGACATAAACCACGCATCTAATCAACTAGACTCTTCATAGGTGACTGAGATGAATGACAGCAGGTTGAGGAGGCTCCTATGGTTCCCCAAAATCCTTACATTGCAAAATTTTAACATCGTGGAGATGATGAAGAACCCTTGCTATTGCTTGGTACTAATTAAGGCAATTGAGACCTTGTTTGGCTTATTGCGCGTGGTGGTACAGTACAGGGCGAGAGTTGACTTCTCAATCCCCGTTGAGAGTTTCCTTGATCCTCCGGCCGTGTGTTTTAGGCCGGATCGAAAAGACCCATTCTCAAAGTTTCATAAATATGGTCTGATGTTCCGGTGCTATGACCTCGTCCGCCAGAAAGTCTCTCCGATTCCTTTCGGAGAGAAAACGGTCAGGTTGACTTTCGACGTCGTGTCATCTCGTATTTGGTCTAGATCTTATCAATGGTTAGATAAGATTGAAAGAAAACTCTGGAAGAGTGCTGTGGTCTTGCTATGGCTCTGGCGCCGAAAGGCCCCTCGAGTCCTCCTGGTAGGATACAGTAAGAAGACTGTAAGCGCATCTGAGCGCCTTTTTCCCGCGACAATATATGGACACTAAGGTTAGTGCCATAGGGCGAAGCGGGACATGTTCGACCTCACGTCTAACCAGCGTCAGGTCGAACGAGCGCCCTAGTTCTTGTTTGAAGACCGGAACATTAGCAACATGGATTAGGATGACTCTTCGGAATACTAAGCCCCGTAGGAATACTAGCAAATCCAATGTGACATGTATTAGAGGGCAAGGGCTATCTTGACTCTTTAGCCTGAGAGGGAGAAGGCTTCCCGCGTAGGCAGATTAGCAATCCCTAGTCTTCCATAAATAGTATAGTATTGGACTTCTCTTTCCTCCTCCTCGAAAATGATGGATCCGGGGAGGGGGAAAGATGAGGCTATCTGGTAGATAAAGACAGATCAACATGTCCTTGCTTCGAATATCAGATAAGAAGAGATTCTGACGTCTGAGATTGCGTGCCTTGCGCGGTCAGTTGATAGGGTAGCAAGAAGAAACTAGTTAGACCGGAGCTTACCGAAAGGCTAGTTTCCATCCATAAGCATTCGCAGGTACCTCGAGGGACAAAGCACGGAATGAAAGATTCTTCATCTGCGGCAATGTTAATTGGCCGATGGATTCCGAGTGACTAACTTACTTGACAGAAGACTGATCAGCTTACTTTGAAAATGGCTTGAGAGAGAGGGTTCCAAACCTCTTCCTGTGCCTGATTGATGGCTTTCCAGAAGAGATTGCTTTCAAGACCAGAGGCGCAGATGAGAGTTTCAAGGACAATGGACCATATGAGTTCGAGACCGAGGAGCTACTGCCCGAGAGGAGAGTTTCCGGGGGAAGAGACTCTTTCTTTTCTTTCTTGATGGCCTTTCGAGTGTCTATTCCTGAGTGAGGTCGGGCTGTCAGGCTTATGATTCTCAAATTTATACTCTCTGAAGCTGGAGTAAGGCGCCTCTTTTTCCACCCGCCAATCAAGGCGTTGCCGCTTGTGAGTTTGATGATTTTTCTTCAGAATAAGACCGCCTTTCCACCTCGACCTCGAACCCAACTCGTCGGACTCACACTTTACCAGATCTGAATCTTTCTCCTATGGAAGAAGAGGAAAATGACGACCTCTATAACGAAAAAAACTTGCATCGCATAGAACACAACATTGAAAAACAAAAGCAAGAGCGGTGTGCGATTTCAGTTTTTCATATGAAAAAAAGATAATAAATAGAAACCATGAAATCAATAAAATATTCAATGAGATATAGATATTGAGAAAGAGGGGTGAGAATTTGACATCGCTTCAAAAGAGAGCGAATGCGTCACTGAAGTGAATAAGAAATTCCTTTCATTCATTATTGAAAATAAGACTGATAAAAGACAGGCTTATAACCAGCTCTTCCTTTATAGATCTGGTTATTGCTTCTTATGACTGTCTAATCAAGGATCTAATTCAGAAACATTTTCAAGAAGGAGAATAATGAAACGCGAGACTTCCTTCAGGTTGACTTTGTGAAAAGTGCTCAAAAAAAGAAAGCACGAGATCCACCAGCAAGTTGATTCTCCCATTTCAGAAAAGGACAACGTACCAAAATGGATTTCAGATCAAACAAACCTTAGGTTTTCCGTTTGTCGGGTAAAAGGACTGACCCGGAAGTAATCGCGTAGGATGAACCGGGTAACCAAAAATAACGATCATTGGTATAAAGCTAGATGTAATTAATCCGGAAGTGCTGGTTCGAGTCCAGCTCGTGAGTTGGCCTAAGGATAAAATCATAAGATCTTGAGTTTCATTCCCATCATCTTCGTTTGGTCTTTCGTTTGAACGGTGTACTCTTTGTCGCTTATTCAAAGGGCGGATTCTTTATAACCCGTTTTGCTCATAAGTAAGTAAGCGTGAACAGCATTTTTGGAACGTTAGTCAAGTCAAAATTGAGGTTTGTGGCCTTTCTACTTCCATATCTTCAACTTCCCTCTAGGTCTAGAGTCCACGTTTTCTAAATTTGGATGATGACGTGCTTGCATTCCAACTCCCGTAGGGTGTAGAGCTACGTTCTTCATTATCGTGTTCCAGTTTCCCTCAGGATATAGAGTCGGTATGTTTCGTTCTGGAGATGAAGTTGCAAGAAGTACAGAGTCGATGTTCTAGAAGGTTTTTGGACATGTGCACGTGGAGAACTGACGGAAGTGTCGAAAGTGAGTTATATGCACATGGGGATATGGGACGCCTGTCTAGTTCTCATTGGAAAAGAATCCGCTGAATCTTCCTTATGTCTCCCGCCTGACACAGTTTGACACACGGTGATACCTGATTGGCTCCAAATCTATAGTTGTAGAAAGAATATCAAGAGAACAAGCACGCGGGAAAAAGCAAGCGTCTAATCAGATCAAGAAAGAGATAGTGGTTCGGCCAAACATCTTTTTCCTAAGCTAGGACGGAGCTGGCGAGTAACGATTGCCCTATCTCAACAAGGGGGTTTGGAACCCAAGCTTGCCTTATTATTAGAGAAAGGGGAGTACTCCCCTTTATTTAAAGCAGAATTGACGCTTCGCTTGGGCGCTCTATTATTGCCTCCTATTCTTGAGGGGGTGATCGGGGTTAAGCCGCGTGGCGATACCCGCGAAGAACAAGGGACTATTCGCTTTTTGGGGTTGGGTCTTTCGTACTCAAATCCGTACGGGGATAATTATTCAGCGCACTCAAATTTAGTGGATGTGGTTCAATATTCATGAAAAGCCAGGTTTGAAATGATCCATGTTACGGAACCAAGACAACCTATCTTACTAATAAGAAGAAAGGGTTAAGGGCCTCCAACGCCTATAAATAGAAGCTTCTTTCAGTCTCTATTTGGCAAAGGGAGACGGGGCCGAACTTAGAAGTCGGCAAGAAAGAGCTTTGAGTAGCCATGGATATCACTAGAAGACTTGAGAGAATGAAACAAGAAATATGTCAGGTGGAAAACGAGAAGCTCCAACGAGAGCAAATGCTGGGTGCGTTCTGGGAACATATGCCTGCTATCGATCCAATTCTCATACGATCTCGTATGCTTTTTATCCAGAACGAAATCCGCTATCTCGAAAACAGGAAGAGGGCGCTGCTCGAAGAACAGCAAGAGCTCATTGTGCGGGCTGTCGCCCTCGGTGACCGGGGGGAGACTAGAATCAATTTACAAGCGCTTAGCTCTTTCTTTTTTCGTGTTTTGTAATCGAGCAAGACACTTGCTTATCTATGATGAACTATGGGTTTCTTTCTTTTCAACAACTGAGCTATGTCAATTGGATCCTCTTTTTTCCGAGTACTAGGCTTGTTTTTTTTTTCTTGTATGTGGGTGGAAGTTGTGTGTTTGTTGTCCTTTCTAGTCTAGTGCAATCAATAACCAAAAAAGTCTTTAGATCAACTAATAGTGAAAGAAGGAAACGATTGACCCTCCCCCTAGTAACTTACGTCAAAAAACTCATGCAAAAAAATGAAGAACAACATCTGATTAGCCCTTTATAATACTACCCCTGTTTCCGTAATAGATTCCCCTAACGCTAGACTGATAATAAGAACTCCTCTATCAGCCGCATAAGGGCTCCCAAGGCTCCCTTCCTCTTGTTAGGGTTGATTGTTTGGCTTGAGCTTGAGTGGTTGACTTTCTCTCCATGATCTAGCCTTCAAAGAATTCCGATGATGTTTGCCAAACACACAACTTTCACTAATTCGATTGTCATAATCATATAAAGGCAAACCAGAAACCGAAATCCAAATTTCAATCCGGGGGTTGATCTGCGCGGGATTGCTAGTCCCGCACAGACCTTGCACTGCAGACCCCTCGATTCTCTTTCTATATCGATGTGACTGCAGGCATGAGTGCTCAGGTACGCCTAGAGTCTAAATTCCTACTTGACTAAACTAATAATATAGGGCTTTTTCAGTTGTCTTAGTTTTAACGAGAAAAAAAGAAATACAGTCCCGAAGAGCGGAACGGCCGTCCAACTCCCCAAACACAAGGGGGCGGGCACTGCTCTCAGCCTGTCGTAACAACGAAACAAAACTCCATACCGGAAAATCATTACCTTTTTCCTAGAACGATAGACATTGGTACAACAGGAGGCTCGAGCGACACATCGTAATTTAGGCTAACCTCAGCGTACCATCGGAGAGACTTTAGCCACATCTTAACCCATGGTTGAAGAATGAGGCGATCAAGAAAGTCCTCCCCCTGAACTGGATAAAATGTCCGAAGACCTTCTCTTTCCTTTTCATTATAAACAAAGCGAAGGCGCTACTTAGCCCTATCAAGCAAGCAAGAATGAAGGCCCGTGCGACACCCGGCGTTAACACTCCCCAATCTGGAAATGCTAACCACAGTTTCAATGGTAACGGGAATACGCCTGACGGCGAAAGCATACAAAGAGAGTGACGCTTCCATCGCTTAGATTTAGGGCGATAGGGCGCACCACAGATACGAGAAGAAGCACCCCTCAATCGATAGGTCAAAGACAGAAACATAGTACCAGTTACATCTCTAATCTTTGATAAAATCGGGGTCTTTTCCGCATAATAGCGTCAACCAAAGACCGGAGCATCTTAGCAGACACTGGAGAGAAATCCCTAGTCACTTCGTCGCTCCAAAATCTTTTGGCAAACTCCAAAACATGACTTATAATAAATAAATCTTTGAAATGAGAGACTTTTCTTTAAATATAGTTATAGTACACTGAAACTATATATTATGGTAAGTGCTTATCAAATCATGCACCTTCTCGTCGGCGATCACCGTCGCCAAGAATGGCATAGTCGCAAAGCTTCGTCGTGCCATACACCCTCTCAGCAGCTATCCACACAAGCATATGATGTGTAAAATAGAGGCCAAGAACTCCAACGAGGGGTTGACCCTTCGTAAACGTCACAACCGATGACCTATAGCCTTTATTATATAAACTATATGGTAATTGAAAGACTACAGAACAAAGTATGAACGCCCAGGAAGTTGCAAAGGGATTTCCAAACAACCCTGCAATCATACAGGACGTCAGGATAACAGGTAAGGAATCGGTAGCAGCCTTGAGATCAAAAGAGAGAAATGAAATCTTTCCTCTCAAGTACTACAACGCTGGTTATAGGTACCATCCATTCTTAACCTTGCCAAAACCGTCATGGCCCAATCATGTATAGGCCGTACAAGGCTTGATACAAGGGTGAGCCAATAGCGAATAACCTTTTCTTCCCTGCTCCCTCGACCTTCATTCCCATCTTGCCAAGCTGAGGCTGCCAGCGCATTGCATTGTATTTAACCACACTGTGGCAAATCGATACAAGTAGCTAAACAGCTTGCTATACCATACAAAGGCATCTCCGGCCGAACGGTTAGGCAAGACTACGGCGCCTGGGTAAACATCCCGTTTACCAAACAAGACGTCGAGAGTGTCACTTAACCATTCCCCTCCTGCAGCCAAAGTTATAGCGGCTGTAGCATCCACCGGTAATGTGTGGAAGAGGGTAAGCTCTTTCTATGTGGATAGGACGTATCAACACCTTTTGCATCTTTTAAAGGAAATATCTAAGAATAATCTTGTGTTGGGTCCTGAGGACCAGGATGGCCGAAGATCAAAACCTAAATGTGCCAGGGGTTGATCATCGAAGCCAGGGCAATAACGATGAAGGAATTTGAGCGCTGATGTAGCTAACAGCCACCTTCATAGTCGATTCATTAGGGTCGTCACCTTCTACCCAACTAGTGGAAAAGTATTCACCCTTTTCTTTGTCTGTTAAGCCTCACAGCTATGGGACTTCCTAAAGAAAACTGCAATCGCAGTTTATCCACCACTCACAAGACCACCGAGATCTTCGACTTAGCTCCCAAAGGTAATCCACCCGGGCCTTCCCTAACCTATACAAGGAGAGCGGAAGGGAGACAAAGTCCTAACTAAATCATAACACAAGCTACCATTCCATCTATCATATCAGTCGAGTCGATCCGATTCGTTCTCTTATCTATAGATAACGCAAGAGATAACTTATGACCTCGCGGATGGAGAGGATTCGAACCCCCGATATTCCTATCAATACTTCGGTTTTCAAGACCGACTCTTTCAACCGCTCAGACATCCATCCCCTTCGCACTTCGCCTGCCCTATCTATATGCGCCGCTGGCAGGTAGGGGCTTATCTATGTGATTCGCTACGCTTGCTTGCGCCTATCGGCGGATTCTATTGCCTGCCGTTAGCGAAACTTTTCCGGTAGTACGAATCGCTACGCTTCGCCTCTTTCTATATGAGAATATGCACCTGGTTGT